TTGCTTCTTGCAACCCCTGAACAACTACACCATGTTCACAACCCTGTCGGAATTCTGTTGGTACGGTTTTGGCTACCATTGCTGCAGTGGTCCTGGAGCTCGAACAACCCTGTCGTGAGACTGTTGGTACGGTTTTGGCTACCTTTGCTGCAGTTGTCCTGGAGCTCGAACTGTGTGGTGTGTCGGCTTGGTCATCGGATCTGTCTGAAGTTGCTTGTTGCAACCCCTGAACAACAGGCTTGGTCATCGTATCTGTCTGAAGTTGCTTCTTGCAACCCCTGAACAACTACACCATGTACAACCCTATCGGGTGTCTGTTGGTACGGTTTTGGCTACCTTTGCTGCAGTGGTCCTGGAGACTGTGGGGAGTCTGTTGGTACGGTTTTGGCTACATTTGCTGCAGTGGTCCTGGAGCTAAACTGTGTGGTGGGACTCTTGGTCATCGGATCTGTCTGAAGTTGGACTTGCAACCACTGAACAACTACACCATGTTCACCACCCTGGCGGGAGTCTTTTGGTACGGTTTTGGCTACCTTTGCTGCAGTGGCCTGGAGCTCCACCCTGGCGGGAGTCTGTTGCTACGGTTTTGGCTACATTTGCTGCAGTGTTCCTGGAGCTCGAAATGTGTGGTATGATGGATTGGTCATCGGATCTGTCTGAAGTTGCTTCTTGCAACCCCTGAACAACTGTCATGTTCACCACCCTGGCGGGAGTCTGTTTGTACGGTTTTGGCTACCTTTGCTGCAGTGGTCCTCCTCGAACTGTGTGGTGTGACGGCTTGGTCATCGGATCTGTCTGAAGTTACTTGTGCAACCCCTGAACAACTGCACCATGTTCACGACCCTGGCGGGAGTGGGTTGGTACGGTTTTGGCTACCTTTGCTGCAATGGTCCTGGAGCTCGAACTGTGTGGTGGGTCGGCTTGGTCATCGGATCTGTCTGAAGTTGCTTGTTGCAACCCCTGAACAACAGGCTTGGTCATCGGATCTGTCAGAAGTTGCTTCTTGCAACCCCTGAACAACTTCCATGTTCACCACCCTGTCGGGAGTCTGTTTTACGGTTTTGGCTACCTTTGCTGCAATGGTCCTGGAGCTCGAACTGTGTGGTGTGTCGGCTTGGTCATCGGATCTGTCTGAAGTTGCTTAAACCCCTGAACAACTACACCATGTTCACCACCGTGGCGGGGGTCTGTTGGTACGGTTTTGGCTACCTTTGCTGCAGTGGTCCTGG